TCATTGATCGGAGTTTAAACTCGGTTCAAATTTTGAATCATATTGGAGGAAACGGGCATTAACCTGTCATTCCTTTCAATGGGTCTGTTCTTTTTAGCTGAACTGACTGCACTAGTTCAGAATTTATCTTTCTTCTTCCAGTGTAATACTTTGTGTCCACGATGCTAAAAATCGGTCCGAGATCTCGGCTGGAAAAAGAATTGACCAATCGCAATGATTAATTGGCCGAATTATTCAAACGCAATTTGTGGACACAAGGCATAATGCCTGTTTCTACCAACGCAGTTTAAAGAGTTAATCCCTAGTGACATTCGATTAACCAAAGTTTAATGAAATATTGATTTCAATCAATGATTTGTTCAAGTTTAAACTTATGTAAACTTCAATTTAAACGGCCGATTTTGGCCATTTAGAAGTGGTTAAAAAATATAACTAATAATTTTGATATGGCACATTATAGCGTTATCGTCCTCGGATGACGAAGATATTATTAAACAGAAGAGAATTAATCAGCATACAAATCATAACAATGAAATTGTTGATGTGGCAGTTCGAACAAAAATGATTTATAATTACTTTGTCAAGTATGTAAAGTTTTTATCTGAACATTTTTATTTAATATTTTTTTAGTTTCTAGATTAATATGTAATTTGAATTACATCAATATTAGTCATATTATTGCAAAATACATTTTAATTTATAATTATAAATTATTTATTATATTAAAAAATCTTTTTATTCCTTTTTCAATTTTTTGTGATAAATTAATAAACTATTATGTCTTACTATATTTAAATTAATATAACAAAAATATAAAATGTATTATTATATTATGTATTATGTATATATATTTGTATTGTATTATGTATATATATTTTATAAAAAAGCAAAAAGACCTCAAAACGAAAAATAATACGAAGATCATTCAAGTATGAACTAATAAAGCTAAAATATACATGTAAAAACAAAAAGTATTTTATCTTTGTAGCAAGAAAGGAATACTACAGTATGAAGCATCTGTACAATAGAATTAAATAGAACTAAATAGATATTTTTCAACATTTTTCTATTTTTTAACATTGTTCCTTTATCATTTTTCATAATTTAATTCTGTTATTCGTATCTATTATACATTCATTAATTTATTGTTCAATTTTTAGTAATGTGTATAATTATAAAAAAAATAGGCATATTTATTCATGTTATTTTTTTTAATTTTCAAAAATAACTCTTATACAAAATTATGAAACGTAAACATAGAATAAAATCTATTAACCTGAAATGATTCTTATACTATTATTTATATTAACCTTTATATTAACATAAATATTTTTCGTTATATATTTTATACTAAAGTTATTACAATTATGATAAAACTGCAAACATTTTTTATATCTTTCTTATATTTTAAAAAAACATTTATACTTTAAAATGAAATTTCCATCATAGTTATTATTACAAAAACAAAAACATTTTTGTAGAAAAACTTATACTTCAAACTAAAACATAACCATTCTCACAGTTATATATCGCAAAAGAAAAACATTTCTTATATTATTGTAAAAACATTTCTACTTCAAACAAAAACATAATCAGTCATTATTGTCAGTTATTTATCAAGAAAAAAGAAAAGAAAAATATTTCTTATATTATTGTAAAAACATTTTTACTTAAATATAACAATCATACAATTATTATTTTTTGTTGTAAAAATATTATTTCAATTCTTTATATAAAAAATTCATGTTTGTTATGTTTTCTGTATTCATTTTTAACTTAATTTTTATATTATCTCTTTTCAATATTCCATTTTTTATACATTTACAATACGGGAGTGTCCCAAATGCGCACAGTTTCAATCGGATATACCACTCACATCAGCCAATGTCTAGGAATTGTCTAGTGAGTCACCTATCAAAAATTTTTTTTATTTAATCAACCAATCAACAATGTGTCCGATTGAACCTTATCCTACAATATACATACCATTAGAGACAATATTGGACCAATCAATGTTCAAGCTGTAGTAAGTTCACGGAATTATGACATATAAGTTATAAGTTTAGCTAAACGTTTATCACATAACGTTTGTAGAAACCAGCATTAAATCCTAGTTTAATTAAACGGAAGTTTTATTAATCTGGAGATTAAGGCCAAAATGATAGAAACGGGCATAAGAAAGAAAGATAAATTGTGAATTAGTACAACCAGTTCAACTAAAAAGAATAGAGTATCAATTCTATAATTCAAATGAGATCATTCACTTTTCGTATTTTCATCTCACGTGAAATTGTTCGTGTGAGGGTACGTCCCCATGAGGAAAGAAATATCGAAACGGAATAGTAACGGAAAGAAAACATGGTGGGGGGATAACCAATCAGAGGGCAAAAATTGATAAAAATTAAATAAACATCAAATTATATGGATATGGATATGGAAATGGATATTAAAGGAAAAAATAATAGAAATATGAAATTCTATAGACATAACTGTATCAAAAACTGTTAGTATACAGTACGAAACATCAGCTCAGATAGGTTATTAATACTAAAAAAGGTATAACAAAATAGTAAATATGTAAAAATATTTGCGGCGTTCGAATACTTTTGTTATCCGTTTATGACACTTGTAATAAATATCTTGTAAATACTATATGGTTGGGGATTCGAGAGAATACGTGACGCACACCTTCCCTTCTTTTTGGCGATTATATTATTTGGGGATTATACTTATATATGGTTGAATTATTTTTTAATTTTACTAACACAATCTCTGAACTTCTCTCTTGCCATAAATGCCAAATTATTTCAAAAATTTCTGTTTAACATAAATATGATGTACTAAATTTGATGTAAAAATCATAAATGAAGCGTTCGAATATTTTCGTTAGCCACTGTGTGTTGCGCTATGTGTATACTTTGGACAAAAATACAAATTCTGTTTTAAAAACAAAAAATCATTTTCTTATATAAAATAAGAAATTTGTAATTTAAAGCAGAGAATTTGTATTTTAAAGTAGAGAATTTGTGTTTTTAAAACAAAAAATAATTTGGTATTCAAACTTATATATTTTTTTATATGGTTTGAAATTTAATTTTTATCAGTGTATCAACATAGATTTGAATTAAACTTCGTACAGAAAATTGTAAACCCATGTGGAATATCTCTCTTCGCATTAAAGTGTATGCTTAGAGACAATATGTTCTGTCTCTCCTACGGGAGGGCTCCACTACTGAAAGATCTAACCCAATCCTTATCACAGTGATAATTAAAATAATAATAATAATTTAGCAATTTATCTTTATCATCGATAACGCTGAGAAACTCGTGAAGACGCACGTGACAATACAAATGACGCACGACTAATATCTAATAAATAAACTGAAAGATACCACCAAAATATAAATACTACCTTGAAATAATATATATAAACATATATGTATGTACGTACACTATCCATCATATACAAAGTGTCATATAAACAGAATAATAACATTTCAAAATTAAGATTTATGTAAATATATCTCGAAAATTAAACGAGACCGCCAATTAATTTAGAAGAAAAAATTGATCAGTACCCTCACCTCTATATATGATAAAGTCAAGTTTATCAGAATTGTGTCCCCTAATGTAAAAAAATACCATATATACATACAAACACATGTATGTATGATACACACGCGCGCGCGCTCACACACACACACACACACACACACACACACAATTATATATAGATATAAATTTTTTTATTTCTTCAAATTTAACTTTCGGTAAAAGAACAAACAAAAAAAAATGTGAAAATTATCTTTTCATTTTTCTTGTTCAATCATTTTCATTATTACTATTATTTTTCTTATATCAAACAAGAATTTTAATAAAAAAAGAAACAAATATGAACATATATGAATGTATTTCGTATTTAACCATAAACATTTATTATATTTATATATATTTATATATATAAATATATTAAACAAAAATAATTTTATATAAAAATTTTACTGGTTTTAGTGATAGCGGTTGATGATTGCAGGAGCATCGATCAATATTACGTTATCGGTTTCTTTATTAAAAAATCTCGGATTATAATGTTCTCGTGACAGGTCTTGACTCCGCAAAAATCTCGAGATTGAATCCCCATCTTTTCTTTGTCAAATCGATTGTCCGGGTCACATATTTGTTCGAGATGTTTCGTTTATTGTCAACATATTTTTCGTCCTGTCATTATTTTCGCTTCCGTTACAATTTAAATATTTCATTTTAATAACTAGTGATTAAATTCCACGACTGTAAGTAATTGATTACTCTCTCTAAATTTACATGTTACGACAATTATACGGATGCATGCAATTATTCGCATTGCTCAAAACAATTAAACGGCATCTCCGATTCGAGGAGAAACAAAAGTCCGATCGTTATATTTGTCGCTCGATTCCAAATATCTAATGATCCCGAATGACCCGGCTATATGTGTGTGTATACGTGTGTCTTTCTAAATACGCGTGTTTGACTTTACCAGATGTGGCAAACATATCGCCACAATACCCCCCTGCCAGTGATTTACTCACGATATGTTGTCGAAAACGTGTTACAATAATGCTGATAACATATCCGTATTAATAATGTACAACATACAATATAATAAATAATAAATGGAACATGTGAATCTATAAAATATAAAGCTTGCTATCTGAATTTCGTTAATACTGGCCAATCGAGTTACCGATATCTTTAATTATTCGGACGAAGAAATAAACACGTGAATACAGAGAATAAGATAAGACGAAATCTCGCAACCTAAATAAAATAAAATAAGAAGACATATCTTGGAATAAAACAATAGATAAATACATTACTGACTAAATAAATAAATAAATAAATACAATAAAATAAAAGAAATAAAGATACATGAAATAAAAATAAAATAAAATATACTAAAATAAAATATTACGACCTAATTACGGACACCGGAGTCAACTCGATTCTGATACGGATACATGTTATTTAAAATTTAGATTTATGTCGATCCAGCCTGGAAATAGTCTGGGAATCACATTCTCCTTCCTGACTTCGTCACGATATCCGGTCGTCCTGGTACGGCTTGTGTTTTCCGACTGTCTCAAGCCCGCATTTACATCGGATTTGCCATGTTCCATTGACCCTGGTAGCTGTGATCTATCATCTGTGATAAGATCTGAAATCACATACGCTGGTTTAATCGGTCTATTGATACCATAATATTTTTGCACGCGCATGGTAAAATTTTTGTCGCCGCGGCTTGTTACTGCGAAAGAGTCATCGTAAAGTGGCCGCAGCATCTCTTTCGGTCCATCGTGACGGATGAATACATAGTCCGTGGTCGCCAAATCTCTGAAAACAAATGGATGCTGTCCTCCGTGGCGAGTGCCCGCGATCGGGCGCAAATCATCGAAACGACGACGCAGCTCCTTGACGTAGTCAGTTATATTCCCCGAGTCATCTGTTATTTGCCGCTGTAGAAACTGCCCCGGTAATCGAAGTGTTTCTCCGTGTACGAATTCGGCCGCTGTTGCCCGCAAAGGGGCAACTTTTTCTTCTCGCCAAGCCGTCCGAACTCCCAGTAGCACCGTCGACAGCTCGAGTCCAATTACTGCTCTCATGACATTTAATAGCCGCTTTGATGGAACCGCTCCACCATATCATTCGCTTGCGGATAATATGCTGCAGTTCTCAGGTGCGACGTTCCCGTCAACTCACTCAGCTGACGGAAAAGATGAGACTCGAACTGATGTCCCTGATCGGTGGTAACTCGCAGAGGCGCACCAAATCGGCAGATCCATCCGTCATAGAAAGCTCTTGCTACTGATCCCGCCTCTTGGTCTTCTAGAGGGAATGCTTCTGGCCATCGCGTAAAGCGATCGACGCAGGTAAGGCAGTATCTCTTTCCCTCTGAAATTGGCATTATTATGATTCAGGTGAATGTGCTCAAACCTCCTGGATAGCACAGCAAATGATCTCACGGGCGTCGCGACATGACGTGATACCTTGGCTCGTTGACACGGTATGCATGCACGAGTCCAATCCCGAGAATCTTGGTTCATCAACGGCCAGACATAGCATTGAGCCATGAGCTTGCCCGTCGCCCTCACTCCCGGATGAGCCAAATTATGGACACTGTCAAACGCAAATCGACGAAACGGTTTCGTCAGGAATGGACACGACGTTTTCGTTGACGTGTCGCAATACACCGCTATTCCTGTTCCCGGAATTTCCATCTCTCTCATTACCAAGCTTGATTCTTGGTCTAACAGTTTCTTTAATTCCTCGTCAGATTTCTAAGATACAGCCAATGCGGCGTAGTCCAAAGGCAATTTCAGTTCGTCAATTCTTGAAAGTGTGTCAGCCACGACGTTATCTGATCCAGGTATATAACGAATATCCGTTGTGAACTGGCCGATAAAATCCAAATGTCTAAACTGATGTGGGGAACATCTGGTTTTTGACGAAACGCGAAAGTCAGCGGCTTGTGATCTGTATACACCGCAAAAGTCCGTGCTTCCAACACCGAAAATGTTTAATCGTGAGATACACCACTAACAATTCCCTGTCAAACGCACTATATTTCGACTCGGTTGGACTCAGCTTCTTCGAAAAGAACGCTAGCGGTTCCCAACCGCTGCTGCCGCTTTGTTGTAACGCGGCGCCGACACTACGACGCGTCTGTAAATAACGCTAGTTCCGCGTTATCCTTCGAATGTGCTAACAAAGCGGCGTTGGCTAAACTTTCTCTGGTCCTCTCGAATGCTTGCTGTGCTTGTGATGTCCATATAATCGGTTGCTTGCCTTTTATATTGTTATGAAATAGATCATTGAGCGGTGCTTTCGGCTGCGTTAGGCAGAAATCTCTTATATAAATTCAGTATGCCTAAATATCGCCTCAATTCTTTTGCTGACTTCGGCTGCTGAAACTTCTGAATTGCTTGTACTACTCGCGAAGGCAATGATCGAGTTCCTTCTCCCATCAGATAACCTAGAAACTCCACTTCTGGCTGGCCAAACACACACTTTCCAGGGTTAATGCCTACTCCGTATTTTTGCAGTCGCCCAAATAAAATTTCGAGGTGTCTTTGATGTTCTTCATCCGATTCTGACGCGACCAAGATGTCGTCAATGTACGCGTGACAAAATTTTAGTCCGTGCAAAACCTCGTCAATGAATCGCTGGAATGTCTGCGCTGCGTTGCGCAAGTCAAAGGACATGTATGGAAATTCATACATGCTGAATGGCTTGTGGACTTGTGGTAATCGCCGTTTTCGGAATGTCTTCGTCAGCAACCGAGATTTGGTGGTACGCTCTTACAAGGTCAATGATTGTGAAGATTTTCTTTCCTTCAAGCGTCTGTGCGAAATCTTGGATATGGCGCACAGGATAACAGTCTGGGACTGTTCTCGCGTTGAGCGCCCGGTAGTCGCTGCAGGGTCGCCATTCCTCACCCTTTTTCGGCACCAGG